TATTCTGATTGTAAAATATTAAAAAAATATCTTAAACAATAATTCACGGATTTATCTCTTAGTTTTCAAGATAAGAAATAAAATATGTGTAAAATTGACAAAAAATAATTATGAATAAGCATTGGTAAAATTATGAATTGAACATTTTTAAAGTTGATATTTGAGCTATAACGAAAGTTGGAAACACAATTCGTTAAAAAACTAGAATTAATTCAATTGATATTATCTGACTTAATTAATTATACGATAATTCAAAGTTTATGAATAATTCATAATTATTATAGTCAAGCTTCTTTAATATTATTAATTAATTTTGAATGGCCCGAAAAAAAATAGTAGGATAACCTACAAAAAGAAATAAGATCCCATCAAAAACATAGAATGTAAAAAAATGCCAAGTCTCGCAACACAATTCCTCCGCTATAAAAAGTTGTGAGATCTCATGTAAAACCAAGTCAGTTTATTTTATTTAGTCTCTCTTTAAGCACCTATTCAACAATTTTCATATAAATTTTGTTAATATCGATATTAGTCATCTTAATTTCTATAATAATTATAATGACTTGGCAATTGCACGATATGATATTCTATAGTAATTAAGAAACTTTATTATAAGTGCACCGTTTATTAGATTTACTTAGTAATTGAAATAGTAGATTATTTTTTTTATAATTAAGGTGCCGTGCATGCAATTGCCAAGTCATTATGATTTTTATAGAAATAAAGATGGCTAATATTGATACTACAATTTATATCACAATTGTTGATAGGTGGTTAAAGAGAGACTAAAGAAAATAAACTGACTTGGTTTTATATGAGATCTCACAACTTTTTATAGCGGAGAAATTGTGTTGCGAGACTTGGCATTTTTTACATTATGTTTTTGATAGGATAGAAATTAACTGGAATGTATAATGTGGAATATTTGTGTGTGTGTGTGGGGTTGGTTAATCGCCGCGAGCTATACCGATATCTATTGTGTGTCCCCCGTTCTTGAGTTCTAACGAGTTATAACTTATCATACAGTCCAAGGGCTTTGAAAAAAGCCAGTGTCTGAGACGGCTTGGCAAAGAGCAGCTCTCCATCTTCGACATCAGCCGCACCAAAGTTTATGGCACAAATGGTTGTCGTCTCGGCGCACACAGTGATGAGGAGTTCTGGTGTTTCCCCATTTTCCCCAAAGAATTTGCATTCGCCGTTGTTTCTTTCTTAGATTCAATCTACTGAGGTATTCGTAGAGGAGATAATGTCCTGTTAAAAACCCTTTACTGCTTTGAAAGTGTGCATACGTTACAAAAAGTTTTGCATACCTGTAATTTATTTTTCAATTTTAGCATTGGGTAGTAAATTTATAGACCAACGGAATGCGAGGGTTCGCGTAAATATCTAAGCATACAACAATTTCCTTTAGTGACAGTGATAAACTGGTTATAACGACCATTGCTAATGTATGTTAGAATATATTCGTGACTGGTCTTAAGTTTTATTTGTTGTTTTAGCATTGAAAAATACTCCGTTAGTTTTTACCGAATTTTTTAATTAAGGTGGACTGAAATATCACTAGGAAAAATGTTATTTTGCACTATTCTCGTACACCTTCATGTGTGTCTTTTTTGACATGGATGAACATAGAGCGTCAAAGCAATCTAAACTGATTTTTTTTAAATATAGTTCAGAAAATACGAGATCGCACTTAATCTTGATTTTTTTAATAATATACGAGTATATTATAAATCAAATGTAATATATTAACAATCAAAATATTCTAAATAAGGACTCTAATACTACGTATAGATTTTGTATCTACTATCCAGATAATTTTTCTTTCAGCGAAAGTTAAAGCTAAACATAAACGTAAAATGTCAGACGTGGAAAGGACGAAAAAAGACTTTCTCGTTCTCAAAATTAAAAACATATCTCGTAACATTAGTGAAACATAAATATTAACTTTCAAAATATTCTTGGTCAGTTTTACAACGTTTTAGCTCAATTAAGAATTGCCATGACAATTATAGAAATTTAACAAGAAAAGTCAATTATTATCGATCCATATAAAGATGAATATTTGTCATAGTAACTATATTAAGGTAACAATAATTATAATTGAATGATTATCCTTTATTAAACAAACGAGAATCTTTATGTATAGGAACATTATATATCGTTGAAATGCAATTTTATTCTTGGAAATTTTAAGTTCTTGAACCTTGTATCGATATATTCTTAAATTAATTTTCGTGGGACATTTAGGTTCTGAAAACACTGAAATTATGTTTTCATCTTGTTTAAAAAAAACTTTATTTAGCATATAGGCATTTGTTGTCTATAGACTAAATTACTAGAACAATTTTATTTATGTTTCCATTTTTCAAATAATATGCATAGACTTAAATTTAAAATAACAATGATTTGAGCGATATTATAACAAACGGAAATAAATATTTTTTGATGTATGTATGTAATTGTCTTTATTTCCCACAAAAATAAATACAAGAGAAGTGATTATATAATACCACACAATGATATGAACATAACAGAATAAAACAAATTCAGTGGAAAATGGAGCGAAATTCAGAACATAAATTATTATGTTCTGCTCTTCCATTTAACTCCAGAAAGAAAAAAAAATGATACAAGAAATTTACAAGAAAACAAATAAATGTTAAATAAAAAGAAAACGCAAACAATCGCGAAATTATAATTAAACGACTATAATATAACAATACAAATACACTCATTTATACATCTTTGCACTGCTCTTCGAAAAGCCATAAACGAGCCCTGGTCTTGAACGAAATACTCGTGAAACTCCTTAAGTGAGTTGGTACCTGAGCATAGATCTTTGAAACCGAATAACTGAAAGATGTTTCGTAGAGGGAGGTTTTGTGGTAAGGAACTGATATATTATTTTATGACGGATATTATTATTGACGGTATGAGTCTCTTGTCTCAACTAAATTTTATTGAAAAGATATACTGGTTTGTGCGATATTAATATATTGTGATATAATATAATATTATTTAAAAGAAATCTATTTTTCATATTTAACCAATGTAGTGTTTTAAAAGTATGTGTTACATGATCATATTTTCGCAAACCAAATATATACATATCTTAAACAATAATTTTGTACTTTCTGTACTGTGTATATATCATCCATACTTAATGCCTGTGAGAAAACGACGGAACAATGAGAGAAATGGGACAAAACTAAGGTATTGCATAGATTGGCTTTTACCTTACTATTTAAAAAATGCCGCAGTGGATAAAGCTGTCTTAATGCCGAGAATGCCCTTTGAACAGATGCACGGTAAGGTTTAAGTATAATAAACCTTAATCAAATTTACCTTTATTTTAATCGTAGAAACTAAAAATGTAATAATATACAGGGTGTTCCATTTAAAAAAATACAACTTTGATATTTTTTATTTATTTGGGACACTCTGTATCTTGTAAAAATATTTTTAAATTGTAGCTCTAATAGTCCCTGAACGAACCCCAAACTTACAATTTGTAAAAATCTCATCGTTTAGCTACAATACTCCGTGTCGTATGTGGTGAACAACCCTGTATATGTTGTAAATCTTCATTGATCATATTAATGGCAAAATTTAAAGAATTCTTATTAAAAGAGGCATACATCTGAGTGTTTATCAGCATACGTATGTATCTTACAAAACTTAACATCGTTGTGAATTAGAGAGGTATATATACAAAAAAGCAGAGGTCCAAGGATTGAACCCTGAGGAACTCCACGTACTAACTTTATTGGACTAGATGTTTTATTTTCCAGTTTGACTATTTGTTGCCTGTCAGTAAAATAGCTTTTCAATAAATTCAATGCACTACCTGAAAACCCATAATAATGTAGCATTGACCGCAAAATCTGAGGATTTAGACAGTCAAACGCTTTGCTATAATCCAACAATACAAAGACTGATATTTCGTCGTTGTCAAGCGCATACAATATATCATCAGTTACTTTAAGTAAAGCCGTGGCACAACTATGTCCCGTCCGAAACCCAGACTGGTGTACAGGCCTAGATATTTTTTTAGCAACATAACTTTTAATTTGGTTATTAAGAACATGCTCTAGTATTTTTGACATAAGGGGCAGTATACTTATTGGTCGTAGATCTTTGAATTCTAGTACTTCTGACTTTTTGGGAATAGGCTTAACAATGCCTATCGATGTCCATGTTTGATATTCAATCAATTGATTTAGACAGATATAAACAAATGTATCGTCTTTTCCTATAATATGTCTGTTCAATATGCCGAATTTACAATTTAACCTAAGCGTTGGTTAAATTGTAAATTCGGTCATTATTCAAGATCATTTCCTATCAATTTTACACATCATGTAAATCATGTTTGATTTTTTATCTCGAAAACTTTTAGAGAAAGATAGATAATAGAAAAATTACAGGATATAAAAGCCTGTTTCGAAAAATATAATAACATACCAGGTGCTCCGTTTAAAACAACAGAGATGTTACAGCACGCGTAAGCAATATTTATTACTGTAATAATAATTATGACTTATTATGACGTAATAATAATTATAATGACTAATGACCATTGCACGGCACTATAATTATAAAAGTATGATCAACCATTTCGATTACTCACTAAATCTTGCAAACAGTACACTTAAGAATAAAAGTATTTTAATTAGTAGAATGTCATACCGTGCAATTACCAAGTCATTACAACTGTTACAAAAATAAAGATGTCTAATATTGATACTAACAATTTATAACAAAATTCTAGAATAGAGACAAAATTCTCAATAGAAACTAAATAAAACAATCTGACTTGGTTTTGCATGAGATCTTACAACTTTTTGTAATGGAAGAATTGCGTTGGTAGACTTGGCATTTTTTACATTCTATGTTTCTGTTGGAAATTAGTTTAACGTTAATAACCTATAATTGAAATTTCTGCAAGTAGCCCTTTTCAAATGATATAAAATGCTCATTTGCCTTCTTTGTTACAGGTAGCGTACAGACGTTGGATCTGCAGCGCACTGGTGCCTCACTTCGGATCGGGCGGCGTCCGCATCCCTCCCTGCCTGCGCCTCTGCCAGAACGTGGAGCAGCAGTGTCCCTACCTGTTGCCCGACCAGACCCTGACGCCCAGCGAAGCGGCGCACCCCACGCCCCAATACGCCGGAGAACCCAACTTCCTCTGCCTTGGTAGGTTCTACCTTTCCAGCTTTTTTCTACGTGGATCTAGAATGTAGAATGTGTGGGAGGGGGGTTAATTATCGCGACCTTACAGATCTGTCATACAAAGAAAACAAAGTATGATCGATAGCGGCTCCAATTTCGTTCAGTTTGCGCACATCACATGTGAAGACACTACGCCAAAAAATCCATATTGTTCAATTGCCGGTAATAAAAAATGACCTAAAATAGGGAAGAATTAGGACATAGCCTCAAAAGTTATGTCAAATCATTTAGCTTGACTTTGAAAAGTAATTTTCACCTTTATTATGCGTCATCAGTTTGACGATTTGAAATTGGCGCGCGGAAAGTGCCAACCAATGCAATGGTGCCGTTATCACCTGTGACGTAGCGACCAACCTGCGCAATATCATACCTTTTTTTTTGTTGTATCATATTACAGATCTATTATGTCCACCTTTCTTGAGTTATATCTCATCATACAGTCCTAGGACTTGGACAGCTTCTGTTGAACCTCTGGTATCACAACTCAAAGATCTATCTAGTGAACATGTTTAATTTTTGTCATTGATAGCATGTATTGACTTAAGAATTCGAATATCTTGAGAAGGGTTGCTCGCAGCGATTTTTACCCGGACGTTTTTTACGTAAAATAAGGCATAAATGTATATTTTTTCACTCTGTAGTGTAATACAGGAACGGATGAAAAGTTATTACTCTTCAAAACAGTAAAAAAAAACATGTAGATAGCGCCCCCTACAAGTAGGAGTCATATTGACATCGAAATCAAATTTTTCATGTGAAAAAACATCCAAATACCAATTTTCATCCAAATATCGACATTAGTTCAAAAGTTATTTTGGACAAATCGAAATAAAAATGAAATTCCTAAGTTCAACTATTTTACTTATTACATCAAACTATTTTACTTACTTTTATGTGCAGAATATGCTGCCAAAGTTTCCGGAATTCAGTTCGGACCACCCTATACAGGGTGTCCCAGAAATAAGTGCAAATATTTTAACTGGTAGTATTGTTCAACCCCAGAAACACGCCTATGAGGCTTTTTATGCGAAAAAAATTTTTGAAAATTCGAAATTTTTTGAAAAATTTTTTGGAATTTTTTTTAGTTTTTAGTTAAAAAACATAATTTCTTGATAATATGGCAACATAGGTAATAGATTAAATTTACAAGAAAGCAAATCCTGAAAAGATCCAGTGGTTCTCAAAATTTTAGCAAAAAATAAGTTTTTTTGGAAATTTTCAAAGTAAAATAACTCCGTTATTTTGGACTTATTTGAAAAACGATAAACAGAAAATTTGATTCTTTTATCGATATCTACCACCCCTTAAAATACTTGCACTTATTTCTGGGACACCCTGTATAAAAAATCATCTCACACTTGCGGCCTATTCGATCTTAAAAAATAATTAAAACGTAATATTTATTCGTACATCCTTATATATAATATTTGAAATATACATGCTGTTATGAATACGCCCCCAATATTTTCTGTTATTTTAATAGTGCACAATAAAAGTTAATAATTACAAACATTTTGCGGATGTCACAAACACATTATTTATTTTGAGCGCAAGTTTAGTGTAACTGCCTAATAAATTACCTGGTTATTAATTAAAGCCTTTGAAATTCGCTGGGTGTTAACGTTGGCTTATGCGCGGTTGTGGATTAATATTACATTTCTACTGCTGTCTTTGTTTAGGGTGTGCTCTATCTAAATTAATTTGAAATGCGTTTAGTGTAAATATCACACACTTGTCTTCACTTATTTAAAGTACTTGATTTACGAATGTTTTAAAAAGTTTTATTTTGTTTTTAGCCCTTAAGAGTTAATGCACCTTCTTTAACTACGTAAGTACTCGCATATATGTATTATATATATATATGTATATATATATATATATATATTATACCCCAATTAATTTTTGATGAGAAACATTTAAAAAATTATAATTCGGGTGTCATATCAGTAATTGAATTATACCGGATGCGTCTCAAATGTGGCTCACCCCTATACATTTTTATTTTTTCAGATAAAAAATGGGATTTGGTATGTTAGTATATGACATAAATTAGGGTTAATTGACGTATTCAATTATTTTTGGTCACTTCCAGTTTCACCGGAAATTACTACAACTGTTGATTTTTAAATGACACCCTCGGAATATTTCTACTTTATTCGATAGAAAATGACACTCTGAACAGAACGATATATCATATGTCAACTTTTGGCATTTTCGCATATGGTTTATTTGAAATTGCAACATGTGGTTCATAACGACAATTTGACACGAAATACCAAGTGTGTGTTAATCAGTGACAATCTATGTATCAAAGAACAAAAACTATATTACAATGCCATAGATACCGGATTTGATTTTTAGGACTTAAACTTGATTTTCATGCATCCGTTATACATTGATACGATGGTCCGACGCACAGTGGTTTCGGAAATGGAAAAAAAACAAAAAAGAGGGTGTTAAATCGGGTTTAAATTATCCTATCTTACATCGAGTTAGTTCAAAGACAATATAATAATATTACTTTTTTAATTTAATTACTAGTTTTGAATTTACAACACCTCCTTTTTGACAATTTTCTTAATATACGAAACGCGCAAAAATAAAGCGAAAACAAGTAATATTTTACAGCCCTTCTTCAAGTTGACGCGCAAAAAATTCAAAAATCGTTTCAATTAGTTATCAATTTACTTTTAAATAGTTCTTTAACCATGTTATCGATATTGTTTTTGTTAAGCTGTGTTAAATAAAATCCGTTCCAAATGCGATTGGATTTTCTATCCACACGAAATACCGGGTTTTTTCGTTATACAATCAGATGCCGACTGTGCGACGGTGCTCTGATTGGTCGTAGCATTTTCACGCCACTTTTCATCCGTAAATATTTTACTTCAGCCCGTCAACGGATCCGTTCATAGGATAACGGACGTTTTGACACTTTTTTTGACAAATTTAATCTAACCTTAATAAAAATATAAGTAAAATACATGGAAAAAAATCAAATCTTTAATTAATAATAGCATTATTCTTCAAGATAAATATTTGATGCAAGTATAAAATGTTTCGGTTAAGTTTAATCAACACATAATTTAAATATTCATCTACTCTTGGATGTAGGTGGGGTTTAAACACTTCAAAATTGCTCTATACATAGCTTAAAACCTAAAAGGACTGGGAAAAAATTAAGGCATCTTTCATTTTACCATCTGCACTATTAGCAAGATACCCCATAAAACATTATTATTATGAAACTTGTAGGCTCTGTACAGGATGTTAATGTAAGATATCTCTTTTATTTACAGTGACGCAAAAAAACGTTACAATGTTATAACTTTTGTATTTAATATTTTTTGTGTCACTTTAAATAAGATACTTTATTCCGGGCAATAATATTGGCTCACCCTGTACAAGGGTAAAACTACATAAAATTAAAGTATAATACTCAATTTAATAAAAGAACAAGTTATTCTTAAATCAAATATTGAAATACTTAAATAAAACTACTAATACATCCAATTTATACTTATTTGAAGAATATGTTTGACTTTGTGCAACTTCTATTGTGTTTAATTAGAGAATAATACAAAATACGTTGAAGTATAATTTAGGTTTATTACAAGTACACCATTCCTCAAGAAACAATAATACCTCTATACTTAATTGAAGTGTCTATTCTTCTGGAATTAATATTAACTTAGTATTACTATCTATACTAATATATAAAATCCTTAAGTGACTGACATACTGATTAATCGTTTGGTTATCTTCAAAGAGACTCAAGTAAGCTTCAAGCACTCAGCTCGCGCGGAGGTCAATTTCTAGACTGTGTGTAGCTCTGAATACTTTCGACGTAGCACTGTTCAAAATTCCAGTGCCAAGAGGATGAAACCACCCCTCAAAGGGTAACTAATAGGCAGATGAAAGGGCCGAGCAAGTTTCATCAACGCCATTCAGTATATTTTATTTTCTGCGGCGTTGCATATTTTAAGGTCGAGAATGGCCACGGAACGATGGGTGGCCAACAAATCTTGTAGAATGGTGGAGAAACACCAGGGCAGAGAACAGTAAGAAAAAGGTTCATTGCAGAACATCTGCCAAAAATTCACGGTAGACTCTGGATAAGCAAGGACAGAAAGACATTCAAAGCTGTATTAGACTCTACTAACAGAGCATTGTAAGCTAAATAGGCATCTAAAGCTGATGGGATTGACAGACGAAGCTATGTTTAGGTTCTGCCAATCTGAAGAAGAAACGTCAGAACACATTTTATGTCGATGTGACAGTCTGGCAAATGTGCGGTTCCCGGTAATAGGCAATGATAGGCCATTGCCAAGGAGCTACATGGAGGGTTCAGTCTCCAAGTTGCTATACTTTGTGAAAAGGATAGGACTGGAGAATGTAATCTAAGGATCAGAAGAGGACCTCAATAGACATGAGAAGGTCGCAGTGGATCAGCAAGCCACCTCTAAGAATCTAATCTACTGATTAATCACGATCCTGCTCAAACCACTCAACGTAAGAAGCTCAATTTTGGCATACAGGTTGATTCTAGGGTGTAGAAGTTCGATAAGAAGGGATTTTTCAAAATTCCAGTTCCAAAAGGGTGAAACCACCCCTCAAACATTACAATATTTTTTATTTAAAAAACGGTCAAGTTTCCGAAAAACGCTTAAACACGTATATTTTATTTTGTTTTTTACATATTTTAAGATTTTTTAAAAATGTATACAGGGTGTTTCGAAAAATCTGGTTATTGTTTAATCACGATCCTGCTTAAACCGCTTGACGTAAAAAGTTGATTTTGGAAAACAGATTGACTTTTAGGGTGTAGAGGTTCGATAAGAAGGGATTTTTGAAACTCCAATTCTAAGGGGTGAAACTATCCCCATATATTAAAATATTTTTATATTAAAAACCGGTGAGTTTTTCGGAAAAACTCTTAAACACGTATATTTTATTTTGTTGTT